CCCTAAATTAGACTTGAATGAAATGGCAAATTATGTTGTCTGGAAAAAATGGATGTGTAGCAAATTCGGGATGGGGATTCCCAACCTGCCACCTCTTGACTGTTTGTTGCCTTTTGAAAACTGTAAAGGGACTTTCAAATGAAAGCTGTCCTTGGCAGAAGGAGGAGTGAGGCAGAAGGAAGTCAAAGTTTTCAGCAAACCACAATCCAGAGACACTGGTGGTTGTACTCTCCCAATCCCTGCTTCTTCCCTGGCCCTTCATACTCTGTAGGGTAACAAGAAGTCACACAGAGAAATTGCAGGCTGCCTGTGGAGGAGGTGTAAGCCTCTGTGTCAGCAAAAGCTGCCAAATTATCGGGGGCTCAGTTGCACTGGACTTGTTTGGTATACCTGGAGGTAACTTCACCCTGCACTTTGGAGAATGTTGCTTCACATGCTACAGTATTTCTAATTTTTGAAGTCTCAAAAGCAATGGCAAAATTTTAGTTATGTGGTGGGAGGTATTTTACCAGCTGCATCCAGCTCGATGTTGGAATTTTTTTCTGCATGAGAGGTACTGAATAAATCTAAGTTGTTAGTGACTGGGGAGTGCAGAGACTGCCTGAAGGCAGTGAACAGATGTGTAGGCTGAGTGAGAAATGATAAGAGAAAACTCAGCTTAGGGTATTTGGGTTTCATCAGAATTCACATTACTTAGACCATTAACAGAGGAATAGAGAGAAATAAGAACTGAGGAATGTTATATATATAACGACTTAACATTCATGACTGTAAGTCTTTTATGCGACCCTTTCAAGGATTTTTGGAAGAAGGAATGATGCACTGTTAGCCTCTTGCAAACCAGTGTGTTTGTTAGTCCCACTTAGGACTCAAAGGTATTTTACCCATATTTTTAGCATAGGCTCTATTCACAATTCTATAGAATCCAGTTCTATTCAAAATTCTAATTTTTCTAGCAAGGGGAAATGCTTTGGCTTTTTACACCTATTCTCAGTAATGACCTCTGTGCTTTAAAACAAATGGAACAATTTTCAGGGTTTAATGGGCTTTTACCTTCAACAGCTACAAATAATCTAATTATCTAGCCACCGTGGGTACTGGATGATTTAAGAATTAAAGACACGATTAGAATCTGTTACAGTAATTAGAATCTATTTTAAAGCAATTGCCCATGGCATTGTATGGTCTAGTGAAAGAAAGGCTGCTGGCTAAATGCTTTTCTTTCACTAAATGCAAAAACAAATGTTAGCACATATTTATTTTTTTAAACTGAGAAAGTCAAGATTTCAGAAGTCAGGTCAATCAAACTATTTGTGCTTTTTTTCTGCTGTTTTTAAAATGCTTCATATGTCACTGAAGCCAATGAAAGGAAAATCACTGATTGACTGGTCTTTGGATCAATTAATTGGAAAAAATTATGAATGTAGTGAATAGAAGGAAAATTACAAATGTAGTGAACAAAAGTGTAATTACTTAGGTAAATTAGAAGTCATAATGAAGGAGATGTGGGTAGATAGGGAAGCACTACAAGAACTTCTGCAGGCCCTACAAATCATCTACAAGTATTTGCAGGAGTCAGTGAAGCAGGAGGATAAGGGTAACCCAACTGATGTAATGTTCCTGCATTTCTAGAAAGCTTTGACAAGACTCTTCGTCAAAAGCTGTTAAAGAAATTAAACCGTAATGTCAGAAGAAGAAAGATCCTCTTGTAGAAAAAGGATGAGCTGAAGGACAGAAAATTGAAAAACAAGTGGTGGGATTAAACAGTTTGTTTCCATAGTGAGAGTGGTAGAAGGTATCATCCAACAAACTCCTGTGTTCATCAGTGCTGTTCAGTCCAGCCATGACCTATTTGCATGGACACTGGAACTTATTAAATGTGCTGGCAACACACAACTGTTGGCTGTTTTCCCCTCTTCCTCTGCTAAAATGAACCTCTGCACAGGAGAATATAACATCTTTCATTTCTTTCTCTTGCTTTTTACCCTCCACCTAATGCATCAAAGGGTTCACAGGGCACCAGCTGAGCTGCAAACTACAGAAGCATGGGGAAGTCAAAAGATATCTACCTGAGGCTGGAGAGCAAAACCTTGGATCTGAATTTGTAAGTCAGATGTCAGCCACACCGTGCACTGTGCAGGTTGTGTTGTTCCCAATACTGGCTCTGCCTGTGCCAGCTACCACAGAATCACAGAATGGTTTGTGTTGGAAAGGACCTTCAAGATCCTCTAGTTCCAACCCCCCTACCATGGCAGGACACAGTCCACTAGACCAGGTTGCTCAGAGCCCCATCCAACCTGGCCTTGAACACTTCTAGGGGTGGGGCATCCACAACTTCTCTGGGCAACCTGTCAGTGCCTGACCACCCTCACTTCACCCTGGGGAGAGTTCTCAGCCACAGCTATGTGAAAATGCAAAGAGTTTTTGTAGCCCTGACACTCTAAGTAGCACTGATAGTCTAGAAAGTGGTAAATGATGCATAGAACACCTCTTTGTTCAGGAAGCCTGTCCTACTAGTAAACAATATAGAAAGAACCTTCAGAAACCCATTTCCTACATATTCTTAGCTGGATGGTGGCAGGTCAGGAGGACAGGGTTGATGAATGACTCACAGCAGGTTGCATGGATGATCTGGGATCTGTCAAGGTTCCTTAAAATAATGACTTTTTTTTTTCTAATAATATAGTGATGTGCCATGGCGTAAACTCAGTCCAGCCTGGCAGTGACTAGCCCGTCAGCTTTTTTATAGCTTGCTATGTGTTTTCTTCCCTGTCTGTACTCTGGAGTGCACATCCCGTTTGCCAGTTTATCCATGACACTGTTGCATGCTGGGAACTGACCCCTCTTCCTTCAACTCATCTCCCCATGCCCCTTGCTTCCATGGGACTAGAAACCAGCTCAACACCACTTCATTTCTGCCCACCTCAGTGTGCTTGCCTGCATTCATTTATATCTATTTAACCTTCTCACTCTTTTGATGACAGGCTATGTGTGAATGAGGTGGAGTTTAGCCTAGCAGCCCACCTGCTTTCCTGACATCCACTGTTCCCTTACATGTATCCTTAGCCAGCTTCAGTAAAGTAGGACTCCATCCCCTTAACTCATGCCACAGCTGAGTAATTTCCAACAAAATAAAGAGTTGTACTTTTCAGAGTTATATAAATAGGAACCTTGCCATAGCAATAACAAATATCTGCAGCTTATCTTATTGCTGTTAAGGTTCTCTAGAGAGCTAAAAAGGTGTTTTTACAATGGGTAAGTTATCGGTTATTACTGCAAAGAAGTTGTAACTTTTGAAATTAAATATTAAGCTATGTTCTGCTACAGGACATAAACCATTTTCTAACTAATAGGGCTTAAATAATATATTTTTATGGATTCATTTGAATAGGGAGCTAATTCAGATACTCTGGCAGTAAGCCCCTGTCTGAGAAAAGATACTAAGCATGCTGGACCACTGGTTTGCCTCTGGAATGGTCATTCTGATCATTCGGTGAATTCATGTTTCAAAAGGATAGTAATTTCACACACACTAAGCATGAGGTACCACACATAAATGCAGACAAACACAGTACATACAATTTTAAGGACTGCTTGACTTTTTAATGGGTTTTAAAGACTGAGAAAACTGGACAGAATAATTAATATGTTTTCTACTTGATTGATAAAAATGTGACTGTAGAGAGACAAGGTACAATTCATCTAATCTAAATGAAGATATCTACATCTGAGTTGCTATAGGTTTCCTTTATAGTTGAGAGCAAGGCATTTTTAGGGTGGGGTTCACCTGGCCTTTGCTAAACATCTGCATCTAATCAGCTGAACTATGTGCCCAGAGGCACACATGATGCAGTTGAACTTCATTAAGTCTTGGAGGTCACAACATCCTCCTGTTGAGTGAGGGCTCACACTATTTCTTGCTGTGCAGCAGAAGATACAGCTATTTTAAATCATGTAAATCCCAGACCGCTATTTCTCAGACTGTGGGAGTCAGGGGAGGTCAGGAGATGATTTAGAGCAGCAGGCAGGCATCAGTGGTAGACATCATCTCCTTTCCTTCCCCTCAGAAGAATGGTAAGGGATCACAATTACCACTTGCAATGATTTGTATTAGCCAGGGAGGCAGCTAATTACCTTTGACTGCTGACAGCACTCATTTCTTTCAGGGTGAAAGAGTGAATTTTTCCTGCCTCTGGATAAGTGAGCTGCCAGTGCTCAAGGGTCTACAAAAGCAGAAGAGCAGAAAGGGAGCTGCGTTTTCAAAGCATTTGAGAGCCTCTGCCCCAGGTATGTGAGGAAATCCCTGATGGCATCACACATCAAACTTCCACCTCCCATGCCATGAGACTGCTCTGCTCATGCTGCCACCATGGGAATGGAAGAACAGTGCTCCCATGCCTAGTTTTGGGGATGTGGGTTTTGCCAGTTCAAAAAGAGATTCATGTACTGGGTCATTCAGAACACTGACTTTAGACTGTAACTCTGAACTGTCCTCTGGAGAAACTCCTCTCATTCACACTGTATACAGAGCATTTGTTGTCTCCTAAATAGGGCGCATAAATTCCCCACCATATGCACCAAGAAAGGCAGAGAAGATCTGCTCATAAGAAACATCTTTAAGCAAATTACCCTAATAAGAAACTGGGAACAACTGACTTACATAAAACAGCAAAATAATTTTTTTCAGTTGATATACCTTTTTTCTTTTCAGATGTTAGGGGAATGATGGATAATCAAAATGAGAAATAAACACATCTTTAAAACAAACTTCAATGCAATAGTCCTATCGCTGATGTATATTCTTTTAGTGACAGTGCTGCTCAGTTCTCCATTTCCCATTGTTGATTTCCACTGCAGAATTGCTACACGACAGCACTTCTTAGGCTATTGAAAGCAAAATATTGCAGGCAGAGAATAAAATTTTTGACTGCAGTATATATGTAAAATCCTCTCAAAAATTAGAAATCTGCAATTACATGGTGAAATATTACCTCACTTACCAACTGATATGGTCCAAACAGCAATTATTTTGGCAAAAGCCTTAGTTCTTGAGTTAAACCGGCTGTGGTGGATGGGGTTTCGAATGGCAATATAGCGATCCAGTGAGATGGCACAGAGATGCATGATGGAGGCAGTGGAGAAAAGCACATCCAAGTAGATCCAAATGGCACAGAGCTTTGTAGGTAGAGGCCATGTGTATCCTGCACAAGAGAAAGCTGACATCAGAAAAAGATGTAGCATACATCTTTTGTTGTGACACATACGTCTCAGTGGGGAAGGTCTTTCTAGGAGGATAGTAGTAAGTACTAAGTAGTAGTAAGTGGTAGGTTCAATAGAAGCTACCTGACACTGTTTAAAGAAAATACTTTCATTTGCTTGCAGCCTTCTAACTCTGTAGATTCAGGGTTAACTCTGCCTCTTTCCCAGGCTACAGGCAGCATATGTTTTTTATTTTTAATTCTATTTGTATAACACTGATGCTTGATGCTATGATTAACCATTTCTGGCAGCAAATCTATGAAAAGAGAAGAAATTTTCTCATTGTAAACCTGCAAGTTCTCAATTTTGTTTCAGGACTTTTTATCCACATAATTACTGCATTATCAACACCTGCTGATATGCAAAGCTGCCTGAATTCTGAAACTGAAACTTTGGATTTAGTGGCAACTGAAGAAAAAATTATTTTGTTGCATATGAGTGATATTTATCTCACCTGTCTTTAACCATCAACCATATACTTGACTAAGGATATTCCCTCTATCAATGGATATTGATAGGCTCCTCCAGGAAAAGCAATGCAAAACTGACACATTAGTGTTTACCAATATTCAACCCTACAGCTTCTTTGCTGCACGTTAAGCCTTTCCTTTTTCCTTGTTCTTTCCACTACCCATGAAGATTAATTGATTGCTTTCCTTTCTGGAGGCTATCAGAAGATGGCTATCATGTCTTGTCGAGTCTTGTGTTTATTTTTTTTTGTCTTCCAGACTAAGAAAAGCCAAGTACTTTATCTTTTTATTACAGATCATGCTTTTAAAACTCTTGTCCTTCTTTTTTCTCTGCCCTAGAATCTGTTTAATTTATCTGCATCTTGTGTACCATTCAGTGATTAAAACAGGACTCTGTACTCTTGCAAAGGCCTCCTGACTGCAAAGTGAAATACAAGGTTGCTTCATGGCTGTTGAAGGAAATGTCTTTACTTATGCAACCTGGAATGATGAGTGCCTTTTGTATGAAAATATCATGCCAGTGATGCATGTTTAGCTTATAACACATTTTGACAGCCAGATCTTTTTCATCATTCTTGAAGCCTGGACAAATCTCCCCAGCAGAAGTTGGTTTGCTTCTTTACTTTTGCATTTATCCTCACTAAATGTTGTTTGTTGATTTCAGACTTTCTCTTCAGGGGTCAAGATGCTTGTTGATGATTCTCATTCTGCCTCTCTGAGTGCTTGTAACCTCCCCCAGCTTGGTGCTTTTAGAAAGCTGTGTAAGCTCAAAATCCATACACTATATGAGTTGTTAGGAGCAGTACTGAGCAGACCTAGGCTAAACAGAACCCCGCAGGACCCCCATTCAAAGGTCCTTCTATTCCTGCAGGGAATCACTAATAACTTGCACTAATCACTTGCTCCTTGGAGCAAGTTTTGCAGTTATCCATGTCCTTATCTGATTTAATTTAGTGATTTAATTTAGAGCATATTATTCAAGCGGCCTGTGACAGTGTGGTGTGGGGCAATGGCAAAGCTCATATTGTGAGAATATGCTAGTATTTTGGGGAGTGCCTGTCTCCTTTGGAGACACAGTATAATATTTACAACAGCAGGAATGGAGGGAAAGGCAGAAGAGCTCTGTGCCTACTTAAATTTAGTTTCAGTGGGCACTGAGGAGACATCTTTCTTGGTGCTCTTGGATTGCTCCAATATGAGCTGACAAGCCATACAGCTTTTATGGATGTGTTTTATCATGATTTCTGGTCTTTCAATAGGAAGTCTGGTCTCCAGAGTGTGTTACATGATGGCTGGCTTTCAGGGGCATGACTTCCCAGTAGCATCCCTCTGTCAGGCCAGGCCAGTTTACAGAGGGAAAAGCGTTAAAGTATTTTTATACTTGACAACATACATCTGTTCTCTTGCTTCAGTGACCTTCGGGAACATATTTGTCACATCCTTCTAGACCTCTTGTCCTTGCTATAAATGTGGGTGGCGCAGGGATAAAACAGCATCTGGCAGATAAACTTCTTGAAGTCTACATGTTCAAGAGAGGGGAAAGTATGAGGGAGAAAACTCTGGATGCAGTAAGACTTTGGAAGGGTGTAGATAATATCTTCCAGGCAATTTTCTGCTCTGTGGGCACGTCCATCTTGGTAGGACTTGCTGGATGTCTTTTTTTCCAGCAGAGGCTGGTGCTGCTGGGTGGATGGAGAAGTCTGCCTGGCCCAAAAGGTGCATACTGGGGCAGGCACATAGCTGGTATGGCTGGGCACCAGAGCCAGAATTGCCCATGGTAGCTGTAAAGCTCTCAAGAAGAAAATCATATCTCTCTGGAGCAAAACAGCCCCTTTGAGGGGCTGTGGAAAGGGTGGTGGAGCACCCTTGCTCCACAGGTTCTGAGGTGCTCTGGCAGAGTAGGTGTATGCAAAGGCTGCCAGTTTGGGTTCAAGACTGTCAACATGTGATGGGTTTGAAGTTAAGCAGCTGAGGCCAAGCAAATGCTGCTGTGTAAGGGAAGGTTTCCCTCTGTGCCATCACTGGTCATCCTGGAGGTTAACAGTGCACCACACCAGACAGCTCTCCTGGTACCTGTGTCCACCATCAGATGATTTTCTACTCCAAGTTACGCTGCAAAGGCCTTCCATTCCTGGTCTTGCAAGGGAAAAAGCAGGAAGAGAGGAGGCAAAGTCAACACAGCCTCTCCAGTACGTCTTTAGGTGCCCTGCTGCTCCTCCGCGCCGGCCGTCGCCAGAGAGGGCGGTACCGCCTTTCCCCGCGATGAGCGCTCCGGCTTCACGGCGAGTGGAAAGACCCCTAGCGCCCCAACCCCCAAATTCCCTCCCAAGCCGCGGATTTCGGGCGCCTCTTCCCTCGGCAGCGGAGCCTGGCCAGCAGGAGTCCCTGTTGCTTGTCTCAGGGAATCGCGCACGACTTAAATCGCACTCATCGGACAATTTCTGTTTTACACTGTTTCTCCCTCCAAAGGTAATGGCACACTAATACAATAAATCACAGCGTTACACCATCACCGATGCTAAATACAGTTTGCAAATGCTACGGAAAGCAAACTCAGTTTTCTGGATGAAATCTCCCTTGAAGTCACAGGTTCATGCTTAGACCTTTAGTCCCAAAATAGTGAAGCAATAGAAACCTTTTAAACAATCTCACTTTCCTCCTGATGTTGTCTAGCTTCTTCTTGAACTGTAGAAATTCAGTTGTGGCACTGGAAAACTCATTTCTGAAGTTTAGAGATAGTAGCAGCCTGACAATATTGTTACTGAACACATAGGGTGCTGCTTTTTCCTATGTGAGCTTGCTGCAAGTGATTGTGGTGAAAATGAGAAGAGCTGCTATTAAGCACCTGCAAGGGCATGAACTGTGAACCATTATTAACTTAATTCTCAAATAACTTCTCTTAAGAAATCATAGCTTTGCATTTGTAAATGTTACTGAAAAAAATTAGGTAGAATTAATTCTTCCATCCATTTTTTAACTCTCAAAATATTTATTCCAGCATTTGCTGGTAAGTAGATGTCTAAGCAGGGTCTTGGGAATAAGAAAATTATTTACGTTTGTATTACTTAATTAAAAATAATTGAAGGGTTGCCTACTTTGAATCTAAAGGTGCTTCTGTGCATATTTGCAGAGCAAAGTAACTGGCAGGACCCTATATTCTTATTAGGAATATAAAAATTATAAGCCAGGGTAAAAATCCTGAAAGCAATAAAGAAAACAAAGCATCTTCATACACACTTTGAGACAATTCATTTAACAATTGAGTAATAAACTAATGTTCTGGCCTGTGTTTAAATGCCTGTAACTAGAAATAAAAAGTAGGAAAAGATTCAAGTACTTCACCTATTCCATCCATCAACCAGTTACATATATTTCAACTTACGTGGAATGATTACAATTTTCTGTAGTGACAGAATGAAATGATAATTACAACAGGATGTGCATGCAATGTTTAAAGCTTCTCGATACATGCAGTAGATTATACAGCAAATACTCACCGTACAGAATGGTTAACATTGACACAGGCATGACAAGGAAACCCAGCAGCATATCAGCTATTGCAAGTGACATTAGAAAATAGTTAGTGGCATTCTGTAGTTTTTTCTCCAGTGAAACAGCCATGATGACAAGAATATTTCCAGCAATGGTTAAAACAATCACTATTACTGTCAGCAAAGCTGGCCAGTTTTTCTGTGAAAGCTGAATCAGGGAAGAGTAGCACGGTGGACTCGTGTTACTTTCACATGAAAGATTGGTTAGATTTTCAGAGTCCACAGTCAAGTTAATGAGATGCGATATATTAATCTCTCCAGCTCCATAAACATTTCTGTAGAGTCTTCTCTCCTGATTTATTTGTATGAAGGAGTTTGCTGTTGGGTTCACAGAGCTCTCCTCATCACAAAGAATATCCATTGTTAAGTCCAAAACCACAGAGATAAATAGTGAAAAACAGGAAATTATCACCCTGTGTCACCATTGGACATTATATTCCTCAGCTGTCCATGCCAGAAGTTGAGGGACCACAATCTTTTGTTGACTGTATTCTTGCCACTAGCGTGATGTAGAAAAACATACCAGAATTACTCCAAAAGCTGAAATGTTTTGTTTTCAGTTCCATAGAAAGTCCAGTGTTGGCATACATTGAAAATCCAGCTGAAAAGCAAAACCAGGCTGTAGGATAGAGAACGTGGATTTGAGGCTTCAGAGAGCAAAAATGTTGGAGAAATAAAAGAGAAAAAACTTTTCCAACCACTAGGACTCCCCTCTGGAGCTACATCTTATTGCTATTGGTAACTGTAATCACACAATTTCAAACACAGCAGTATTAAAATAGCTTGCCATATTAAACAGCAGAGCTCTTGCTTCCGTATTAAGAAAGTTGATTAAAGATTCCATCCAGCATCTTTCTGTTGAAATAATTCAGTATGCCCTTATTTATAGTGCATCTTCCATAATATGGCTGATGGTCTCTGTCTTCTGTTGTATTTCAGAATCATTTTCAGCCTCATATTAGAGATTGCACATTCTGCTCCATGCTGATTTTTGTGGCTAATTGTACCTTTTGGCCCAGCATGGTTTTGGAATGGAAATTAAACAATTAGATACTATTACAAAAGAATACAATTTAAGGAAGACTTACATTGCACTTCAGAGCCCACTTTCAAACTGCAGTTAGATGCACTTTGTACCCTGGTTTACGATATTCTTCACTATATTTAGCCAGTTTTGTGCCCTTTTTCTTCAGTCTCTTCCATAATGCTGTAATTTGAAATAGTTTTTTGACTTCTAAACTGCACACTTGAGTGAAGCCAGTTCCTGTGCTGCGAGTCTTGCTCTTTTCTTCTGAGAGATAGGCTGCTTGCCGGCTCTTTCCTTGTGCATTTCCCCGCCCCAGGGCAAGCTATATTTAAAGTAATAACAATATCAGAGCCCTTCTTGAGGTGACACAAAAGAAAGCACATGCACACACTCACGAAAAAGCAGCCTCCTCCTCGGAATTACTGATTTCAACAGGAATGGAATTTCTTGCTCTCTGTCTTGTTCGGGTTGTCAGACCTCCCACTATCTGGATGTCATAAACTACAAGGTAGTGACAGCAGAGGAGGGCAGGGGAGAGCAGACCAAAGAGGGTCTTTTAGGTAAATCAGCAGCTTTTTCAACTCCTCCTTTTTCAGAGGTTCTCTGCTTTCAATTTGCAGCGGATAGCTCACAAACAGCTGCATGCAATTACAGGGATTTACAGGATGCAGGCTTGAGAGAGAAAAAAATCTAAGGCTTGGTAGATTAGATCTGGTAGTATCTACTTTAGATATGGTAGATAATACTGAAAAATATAAATGAGAATTTTTTCCATACAGAGAGGAAATTACACCAGCCTTAAAAGAAAGATGTAATATTCAATCTCCTTCAGTTTTAAACTCCTGGTCTGTGTTAACATGTTAATGAAATTGGCAATATATATATATTTGCAAAAAATTAAAGTCACTCTGATGTCACACTCATTTGTCAGGAGGCAGATGTAACAGCTAATCCCAGTAGCCTGTCCCAAGCAGGTATCCCAAATGAAGCAGTTCAGGAAGGCAGAACGGTATACAGCAGAGGGGAAACAAGACAGCCTACCACTGCTTCTGCCTTGTATCTCTGCTGCCAGGACATGGATGAAGAAATAGTCAACTCTTCAATTTGCCACCTAACACAACACCTACTTCCAGATTTCCTGAGACTTATATTTGTCAAAACTTCAGCTGAGTGGGTCTGCTGCATCCTGAAATATATTGCAGATTTCCCTCATGTGGAGAGCAATGGCTTTATACAGGCAGGCTCAGGGAGTTTAGTGTAAGAGCTCAGAGAGATGTGAGTGTCGCTGGGCACTGATGGGTCCAGGCAGACCCTTGGGAGCTACAGGCTGCTCCCATAGCTCAGCATTATGTGCAGCATCACTAACTCCCTTGAAGATCCCAGGGAGCTGCAAACACGTGAAGCATTACTGCAGCTCACCTGAGATGTGCTTATCTCTTCATGGACCAAAACCTTACCAAAGTGAGTCTCACAGCACCTGCCAAAGTCCATTCAGATAATTGAGACACAATTACAGAGAGCATGTCACAGTAAAGTTCCTTTGGAGCCAGTTTTATTCCCAGATGAGCCCAGCAAGGTGGGACTGACAGTCAGTATCTCTTACTGATGCCCATGTGGGATTTGGAAATGTATCATTGCAGTACTAAAGTTTCCCAATTCCATAGGTGAGGCCAGAAGACTATCAGGCAACACAAACTGGTAAAAAAAGCTGATCATGCTGAATTTAGAAATGTTTCAGCCCTTGTAGTCCTGTCCAGGATCCAGAAGAGGCCCTTTCCTTCTCTCCTTTAATACAATAACCAAATGGGTTACTGTGCTCACCAAGTGAAGTTGTCATCCCTGCTTCAGAGGGTTGGGCAGCCATCCTTGTGAAGATGCCCTCAACATGAGAGTGCAGATCTGATGCAGAGAGTGGACTCTGCTTCTGTTGAATGCAGCTACTGTGAAAAATAGGGCACAAGACCCATTGGCTGGGACTACATATAATCCTTTGTGAGGAAACCAAGTGACCTGTTGTTTTTTAGATGGCTGCTTCTGGGCTCTGACAGCTCTAATGTAACAGTCATGGATGTGTCGTGGATGGACTTCACTCGTAAGAAAGAAGTACCAATATGTTTATAGATATAAACCAGCGATTTAACAAAGCTTGATAGTAAATGCAACAGTGTTTTAATCAGATTTGATGGCAAGGTACACTTGATTATTTACTGCACAGAAGACAAGGACAGACAGATTGTCAGGGAGACCCTCCTGTTGAGTCATGAGGTTCAGAAAGGGCACCCTTGTGTTCTAAACACTTTCTCAGGAGGGAGTTTATGTGTGGTTAAATTCAAACTTGGTCCCAGCCTTGGTCAACAGTTTATGTCTCAAGAATTATATGTGCACAATCCATCCTTTATATCACTTAACTAAGACTTCACAGTTTAACGTGTCATTAATCACTTACTGAGAATCTATTGAGTCAAGGAATCCCTTAGCTTCTAGGAGTAACCTTGAGAGGTGTCCCTACTCAAGGGAAGTTCCTGGCAAGCAGCCCACTGTCCTGCAGGAGAGCTCAATGATCCCTGGGCTGTCCACTATTTATGAAGTAATATAGTTGACTTATAGTCATATTTGTGTACCGACGATAGAACTTAGTTTCTTCCACACTTGGCCTGAGTTGGACCTTGACAAACACTACGGTTGTGGGGGATACAATGACTCGTTTAAGGCTGCAGCTCTGCTCTGGACAACAGGAACATAAAAGTGAAGTGCAAACAAGTTGAATGTTTCCTTGTCTAGGATCTTTGCAGGTACAGTCATAAGCTCTTCGTATAAGGACTGCATTGTTTACTTTGGTCTAGCTGTAGACCTATGACCACAAGGTCTGAGACCTTCTGAAAACTAATCTGTCCCCCCAAAAAAACTATTTGACATATATGAAACTGAGGCACAAGTATATTAAATAGTTTTTAAGCTTTGCACATGAGACCTGGATGAATCAGAAGCCACTTTTGTATAGGTCAGTATATCAGAAACGAATCCATAATCCTATGTCTTCTAGCAAAATATGCTGGATATGTCACTGATCACAAGCTTGTTTTATTATTTATCTCAGGATTCTTGTTTTTTACTGCAAAAAACACTCCTCCCACCTCCCCCCAAGAACTCAAAATTATTTCTCTTCCATATAGTATCATTGCAGGGGTCCAGCCAAAAGAGGGTACCAAGGCTTCCACAAGTGCTCTCATCCCTTGGCAAAATTAAACCTGCACCATACCTTAAAGAGCAGTGTGGTACAACTCCTAGGTGATTAATCATGTCTAAACCCAGCCTTGACCATTGCTTTTCCTAAAGGTGGAAAGTTCTGAAAACCTGTAGGTCCCATGATCTTCCATTTTTAAAAAAACAAGCTTGCAAGCTGATAGCAGCAGAGCCTCACACACTGCGACCTGAAATCCCAGGCAGCGAGTCTGCACTGAAAAACAGACAGCTGCAGTCGGTCCCAGTCTATGTAAATTAAGTGAAATCTTAGCTTAAAATGGCGATAATGTGGTCTGCATTAGACAGAAAGCAGTCTCTAGAAACACAGCTAGCATGGGAACAGTCTACATATTGCTTTTTAATTTCTGGAAGGCACCAACGTATCAAATTCAAGAGAGCCTCTCCTCTGTTCCCCAGCTCTGCTTGGAAATTTTTTGTAGGACATTAATCTGTTCTCTTGTGCAGGGTTTCTGTGCTTGGCATATAAACACTTCCTCGAAATGCTGCTTTTCAATGATTTTATCTAAAAGACTAGAAATAAAAAACCTAGTTTACATTACTCAAATTTGGTGGTCTCAGGATTATTTCACATGTAAGAATCCCCCGTTTCTGAGTTTGCCATTGTTCTCTGTTGTTTTGAGTACACTGTGTAATCAGTAAATGTATAAAGTGCAGAGATTAATTGTTCACTCTGATATTTAAAAGTGAGGGAAGTAGAATGTGAATAATTTATGTTGTGGCTGAGACTACTACAATTTGGTATGTTTGTTTGCATTCATTGGGGGCTGTTGGACATGAATCAGAGGCTGGTCATTACAGATCAGAGCAAATAACTATGTACTTTGCTCTCTTTTCGATGTAGTTGAGCTCATTCTGTGTCTCTCAACCTTCATGACCCCATGCCATTGCAGTGAGGTGAGAACAGCTTGACATGACCTTTCTGAAACCCACACAGGAGCAGCATCCCTCAGCCTTGCTGTCCACAAGTGATGATCCAGAGCAAGCTGGGTGTTGCAGCACCAGCACCCTGTGTCCTGATGACTGCAAACCTGAGGAGAGTAACTGGTGTGTTGTTGTAGGGCTCTCTGCCATGAAAATGGCTCTCTGTATTGATTTGGTCTGGACTGCTTTTGAATAACAACCGAATATTAGAAGTTAGGGCTGAAGAGGAAGCTGAAATAACTCAATATAACTATAATTTCTAAGTGCAATATATTTTAAGCAATCTGTAAGAAATAAATATATA